TTTAAAACTATTGCTTGAAGAATGAATATATAAAAATTATACATGTAAAAATAAAGTTTTAAACACTTTTTTAAAAAGTTTTAAATATCTGTTATAAAAAGCTAAAATATAAAAATACTAAAATTAAGTTTTGCATATTATAACTTTCTGACCCCGCAAAACTTGTAAAAACTCGAAATAAAAATTCTGCAAAACATGTTTTCCAGTAATGTGTAATACTTTCTGAACTGTAAAAAAATTATTTATATTAAAATAATTTTTAAAATCAACTTTTGTCCACGTTTTTGTGATTTGGACTAATAGTACAAGTAACATTTTATTGTTTTAATTCAATTTTCATAGTTTAATTCAAGTTTCTGATAAATGTTACTGATAAATAAAGATAAAACATTAATGTTTATCAAAGAAAAAACTTTAACTTTATCACACAGAGAAAAATCAAAATTTGTCGTAATATTTATAATTACGTTAAAATATTTACGTTTTGTTTTTGTTTTCCTTCATTTCATTTCTTACGAACCTTATGTACTACTTCTCTTTAGAGAAACTCTGACGTTGAAAATGCTCCTTTTATACGATGCGATAGTATTCTTTGAACTTGAAAATCAAAAGTAAAATATATGTATATATATATATATATATTATATATATTATATATATATTTATATATATATATATATATTATATATATATATATGCATTTTACTTTTAATTTTCATTTTATGCTAATTCCTAAATCTGGAATGTTGTTGAATACAAGTTGAAGAGAAATAACTACGTAAGGTTCGTAAGGAAAACGAAACGAAGAAAAACGATGACAAAATGAATGCTATTTTGTTTAAACATGTGTTTAGTTTGTGAGAACATTTTAACGTAATTAAAAATATTATGAAAAACTTTGATTTTTCTCTGTGTTATCAAGTTATAGTTAACACCATTAATGTTTGATCTTTATTTATCAGTATTAAAGTTTGTGTAAACTTATTTTGAGAAAAAAATTTAATACAGTAGTTTTAAGTTACTGACCATTGGCCAATCGATTTCTCCACGTCAATCCGACATTGGGTAATTTGTGCGGGCTAGCTGGGTAATGATGGTTGATAATAACCTAATTTTACAAGTTTATGCAACCACCATCGACTTAGTTTTGCGTGTAGTTGTGAAAGATATCCACGAACCGCAAGTTCAAAGTTTAACTGATCAACAATATAAAAAAAACTTTCAGTTTCATCGCTCTGCCAATAATATAAATACGAACTTAAATCTCCAATTTCTTTTTCGGAAAATTTGCTTTCTCTAGTTAGAAAAATATTTCGGCAATCTGTCAGTTGAATATTTTTTAAATCAGTTGTAAATGATGCCAGAGTTTTTATCCAATAACTAAATACTCTAATATCTTCTGGTGCAAATATATACCAATATTGCGTAGAATCATATGTTGACATTGTCCATAAAGACTTATTTTCAAGAAATTCAAACTCGTTCGAAATCAAGCAATTACTTGAAAAATTATCTGATTTTTTTAAAATTGTAACTTTACTTGCACGTAAATTTGCTCCATAAACAACCATTGCAATTTCATGCCATTTTATTGAACTTGGGAAGCTTATACTATTAAACAAATCTAATGCTAACTCTTCGAGAAGAACTTTATGATCTAGCAGTTGACAATCATTAACTTTTTTAGTTTTATCTGTTAACAACACGATTTTATAAAATTTAAATTTAAAGCATTCTGGGATTATTCCATGTATATCAGCTAGCATTAAAACTGCAATTGGAGGACCATCAAAGTCTTTTCTGTCTTTTAATGTAAAATCTGGTCTGGTTACTTGTTTTTTCCAAAAATTTAAACCTTCGCCAAATGTTTTTGGCATGTATTTTTCTTTAAACAAAAAAATAGAGTCACCAAAGAAGTACCTTCCTATAGCATGCCAATGATTGATTCCAACATTAACGTTTTCAATGCGATGTTTAAAAGCGTTGTACTTCATGTTTGATAAATTTAGATTGGAAAGCTTATGGAAAAGAATATCGTAATTATTATAGGTTTCAGTTCCTTTATAATAATAATAGTCTGAATAACTGAGCCAACGTTGAAGTGCTTTGTCGTCAAAATCGTCATTAGGATTGTACCTTAAATAAAATTTAATTAAAATACAGTATTTTTACGCTCATGAAAAATCAAAATACATAAACTCCGTTATTATAGGAATATTCAACAAAGTCGAATTCAAAAAAAAAAATTAAACATAAAAATCCGTTAGGCAAGTATGTTTATATATATACCCGTAGTTTAAAGACCGAATATTCTGTTTCATGATGTCGTATGTCGAATGATCTAATCTTTGTTTTCTTTCACTGACAAGATGATGCAGTTTTTCATACTTTGCATATAATTCAGCTGAAGGTACAAACAATGGTATGCCCACATTAGCAACTTCACAACTAAAATACGACATCACAGAATATCCTAACAAAATTGCAACATCAATCTGACCTGTAAAAGGTATAAAATCAAACTGTATTATAAAAAATTTATCCGTAGCTTACTTATAAAATATTAAGCTCAGACACATGATCCAACTAGTTTTATATTGTAAACAATATTACAGAATATTGGGCTATTTACAGAGTTGTTAATTTAGTTCTGATGATGAGGTATGGTGGTATAGTTGTAATGATAAAGGATAATAGTTGACACAATTACTACTTTTGATTTTGTTCATTATGACAGATTCTTTAAATAGTATAACAAACCTCTCTATTAGCTTATACCTTTCTATCAGGTTCAACAGTATTTAGAAATATTTATATCCCCCGAATATCGATGCCTCCATATCAATATAGATTGTTTTTTTATTTGTTTAATATTTAGAAAATTACTAACAAGGGTTCATCCACTAAATATGTACATATTAAAACCAATGATTTGAAAGAACTTCTTTCGATTAAGCACCTGTACGCTTTTAATAAATCCCTCCCATTTGTGTACCTACGCATTGTTTAAAGCATTTAAGTACAGAATAAAGTTTTAGCTTATTTGACGTATTTTTCCTTATTAAAAAAAGACAGACAGATAACAGCCACTGATACTTATACAATACTTGGCTTTTCCCGATTTACTTAAATTACAAAAAGTAATTCTATTATAAAAATGTTATAACCATTTGAAAATTTCCAATTATATGACTTATATCAATACTTTCGGTTTAAAACGTTTTGAACGTGTAATTAATCTTAGATATGTAAAAAATGTTTACTTGAAAAAAATTGAATTTTCTTAAAATTTGGTAATACTTATCAAAAGCATTTGAAACAGCTGAAGATATCATTGTCCTAGATACGCTGAAGAATTACAGGGTAATCGATCAAACTTATAATCAAAATAAAATCTGTTTTACCGATACAAGGTTTTAATTATAATCGCATGTACCGATAGAAAGTTTTGTATCGGATATATAATACACCGATTCAAAGTTTTACTTATAATCAAAATAAAAGCTGTTTTACCGATACAAGGTTTTAATTATAATCGCATGTACCGATAGAAAGTTTTGTATCGGATATATAATACACCGATTCAAAGTTTTACTTATAATCAAAATAAAAGCTGTTTTACCGATACAAGGTTTTAATTATAATCGTATGTACCGATAGAAAGTTTTGTATCGGATATATAATACACCGATTCAAAGTTTTACTTATAATCAAAATAAAAGCTGTTTTACCGATACAAGGTTTTAATTATAATCGTATGTACCGATAGAAAGTTTTGTATCGGATATATAATACACCGATTCAAAGTTTTACTTATAATCAAAATAAAAGCTGTTTTACCGATACAAGGTTTTAATTATAATCGTATGTACCGATAGAAAGTTTTGTATCGGATATATAATACACCGATTCAAAGTTTTACTTATAATCAAAATAAAAGCTGTTTTACCGATACAAGGTTTTAATTATAATCGTATGTACCGATAGAAAGTTTTGTATCGGATATATAATACACCGATTCAAAGTTTTACTTATAATCAAAATAAAAGCTGTTTTACAAGGCAGCATATACGTAATGCTCTTTATCTTTTTATAAAAAATTTAGAATACCGTTTCAAGAGTCGTTAATACACAAAACTAAAGATTAAAAGTTCAGGTTTTCTCAGTGATTTTTGAAAATATACTTAAAAGGAAGTCTTCTTAAGTATACTTTCAATAACCACTTTTTCATTAATTTCTTTAATCTATTCATTAGGTCTATTTATTCCTGGAAAGAATTATGAAAAATGAAAAAACGAAAAAAAAAAATTTCTCAATAAGTTACAACAACCTATGTAACGGAACTCTAGACAAGCAAAACTTTTACATTTTGCAAGTAGGTAAGGCAAAACGAGACAGTTAAAAAGTAACATCTATTCGTTAATTGTAAAGCTTTAAAAATGATGAAAAATGAAGGCTATCTATTGCCTAAATATGCTCAGACATTAAACTCTCAAAAAAGTACCCATAGAAACTACACGCTCTTACACTCATACACCACAAAAGAAAAAATAACAGCTAAAACACACACAAAAAATTTCTTTTTTAAAATAAATACCTCCGCTTGACTCTAACCTGTATTTTTTTAAATTGGTTACTACTATTAAATTGAAATTAGATAAAAAATTGTTATTTATCACATAAACCACACATAAAACATCCTGAAACTATTTGACAACATTTTTGATGAGCTGGCTTATTAGCAATATGCCAATGTAGAGCAAACTTAAAAATGCCATATGTATCAGTAGCTTTTCTTGTTTTAAGTTTCTTTTCACTCGCAGCAAAAACTGCATTTCATCCCATTTTGGATGAGTGATCTTTCTTAAATCATTTCTTACCTTCTTTGTTTAAATTAAACACTAATAATAATTTAAATTATGTTATAAAAATAAGAATTTTTTTAAATTTATTACTAAAATTGCTTTTCTTAATAAGAAAAAAAATATTTTAGATTAAAAACAAAATCCTTAAACTGTAAAAAGCATCACCAAATGGTAGTAATATATTCAATTATATAAATAGCTTGTTGTCCCGATATGCCTCACAAAACTCATTTTACTGAAATTAATACTATTTAAAAAGTTCAATTCCAAGTATTTTTTTAAAACCAGATTCTAAAAGAGGATAAAAAATACTGTCTGAAAAATATAAACATTTTATAAATAAAAGAAATCTTTTCTCGTTGTATCGCTTAAGAAAATACGCAAATTTTGTTTTTCGCAAACTTACTGAAGCATTTTGGTTCTTATAATGAATTTTGGTATTTCTAAAATTAAATTGTATTTACAATAATAAAGCACAATAACTTTTAGCTGAGAAACAAGACTTCAGGCATAACTGTCCCGTTATGCTGCACTGTTCCGATATGACCCACTCTACCCTATTTTACAAAAAATTAACAAAAAAATAATATTATTTTGTAAATCAAAAATGTTTGTCAAAGTTCATTTTAAAATGTTTTGTAGTCAAAACTACATTTAAAACTGTTGACATAATAAACACTGTTATGCATTCAAAATAGCAATTAAAAACATAGTGCTATTATTTAAATAGTAAATAAATTAAATGTTAAAAAAATTCTGGGGATTTTATCAAATATCTTCCCTTTAAAATATCTGTGAATGTCCCTAAATTTTGCCGTATTTGCTGATAAAACAAATCTATTTGTTTCTAAAATTATTTTTAAGGAACTAGATGTGTATTATATAAAATTTATAAAAAATAGAATTGCTTTACGTACATTATACAATAAAAACTTATACCGAAACGATTGGTATGATGTGCTGCACACATAAGTATCATTGTTTTATCAGCAATAAAAATATTTGATAGGCTGGTAGACAACCATAAAAAATTAAAATTATATGTCATTATCTTTGAGACAAATTAAAACATATACTACGCATGCCGAAGTAATTATTTTTCCGTTCCCGTAACAACAAAGGGATTAGTGGAAACTCACCTTTAAGATGTTTTGAAAAACGACCGCAGAATAATAGTTGTAACTAATATACATTTCAAAAAAAAAATTTTTAATTTAGTTTTAGTTTAAAAGGACAAAGCTACTAACAAAAAGTATTTCGATCTTTTTTTTAATAAATAGTTTGGACTAGTTTTAATGTTAATTTACAGTTATTTACAGATGCGTTTACAGTTGTATACAGTTAAAGAAGATATACAGTTGTATTCAGTTAAATAAACATAAATTTGAAATTAAGAAAACACGGTCTATTATAAATTAAGTAAAAGAAAGAAAAATATTTTTTTATAGTTTTCCACAAAATTAAACTTTAACCACTATGTTACAAAAGTATAGAGTTTTTCAACATGGAGCTGCCAATTAGAGTGTTTGGTGAACACTTGCAAGCAAAACCCATTACTAATGCAACAAAAAATAATTAAACATTAGTTTAAAAATGCTCTAGCTAAATATAAGTGTATTAATTCATGTGAATCATATTCACATTTACATTAATCTAGATATCTATGTTATGGGTAGTACATTACATTATGGAAGGAACCTTTTTTCTACTTAATGGCATCTTCATTTGAGAGAATTATATTTTTCCTGATAAATATAAAGCAACCAAAATTCACCTAGCCTTTAAAAGAGTACATATTTTTACGCCCTCTACTATTACTGTCCAAAATCACTCTACGCGTTTTAGAAAAATATTTAAAATGGTTATTTAAAATAGGTTTTATTATTAAAATTGCAGTAAATATTTATACAAAAATCAAATAAGATTTCAGAAAAATTGCATTACTGGACTAATTTTATATTTCTTTATTATACTTCTAATTAAGTTTGCCAATAAAATATGTTTTTTAATAAAGATGATCAAGTAGTAATATCATATTTAATATATATTTACAACTTGCATAAAGCTTGCGATAAAATATTGTTAATAATCTATGTTGATAATAATTTTTTTTTTATAATGTCTTAAACAATGAACACTGAAACAGAATGTTTAAACTACTAATTTAAAGCAAATAAATTTTCTTTATATTGTGAATAAAACTAACTTTATTATCTGCTTAAAAAATAAGACCTTCATTTATTATTTCGTTAAGTTTACTAAAACTATTTATTATTAAAAATCAAATGTGATAAAAATGAAAAGCCATAAAATTATAAAACATTTTAAGAGATTAGATAAGAATCTATTATTAAAAAATTGTATTACTCTCATTTACATAAAAATTGTGAAAATGGATCATATAGGAAAACACACCTAACACTAAATTAATAAAACTTACCAAACCACGTATGTAAAGTAGGGTGTCCCTAAAAAAGGTTTTTGGGTTCAAAACATATCCTGACTATATGCATAAAAATAAGCAATTTTACCAAATTTTAGTGTATAAGGATCCTCAGAAGTGTTAGGGGAAAAACTGAAAAACAGGCGTTTTTGGATTTTTTTATATTTTTTCACGTAAATGATACGTTTTCCA